TTTGCACAAGACCAATACTTGATAGAATATTAAGAGCCACTGGAAAACCTTATCATCCATCCTGTTTTACATGTGTAGTTTGTGGACAAAGTTTGGATGGCATACCATTTACAGTAGATGCTACAAATCAAATTCATTGTATACAATGTTTCCACAAGTAAGTATATTTTAATTGATTAAATGTAATAATTAATTTTATAATTTTAAATTAATATTTTTATATTATAGAAAATTTGCACCTCGTTGTTGCGTTTGTAAGTTACCAATTATGCCAGAACCAGGTCAAGATGAAACTGTACGTGTTGTAGCATTAGATCGTAGTTTTCATATTCAGTGCTATAAATGTGAAGATTGTGGATTGATTTTATCTTCTGATTCTGAAGGACGCGGCTGCTATCCTTTGGATGATCATGTATTATGCAAAAGCTGTAATGCTACTCGTGTGCAAGCATTAACATCACATATGACAACTGAATTATAAATGGCATAAATATAATAATTGCAATTATATATTAAATTGTCAAATTTATAGTTACAATTTTATGAATTTTTAATGTTTAGAAGTAAGATAATGTTTATAAATATTTATAAATATCTGACATTTTATATATTTTTAAAATATTTTTTAATCAAAACGATTTTAATAATTAAATATGAGCAATCTTCTCATTATTTAATTACACCAAATATATATTCATAATATTTGTATACTTTTTTTAAAGAATTATACTTTGAAATTGATACATCTATATATTCGTACATTGAATCATGATTGAAGCAAATTTGAAAGAATTTTAAAATTTAAATAATATTACTGCCTTTACACTGCCATGTTTCAAGAAAAAGAATTTAAAAAATGAAAAGAATTTGAATTTTGAAAAATTAATTATAAATATTTAAGCAAAAAAATTTTAACATATAGAATCTATTTGAAATTAATTTCTTATAATATGATATTTAATGTGATTAGTAAGATATCACATGTAATATTAAAACAAAGTATTCTATTCTTATCGTTAAGAATATTAGATTTATAAGACTATGATTATCCACACAATATCAATAATATAAAGTAGAAATTTTGTAATTTATATGCTTCTTTCTATTGATCTAAAATGATTATTCCCATATATTGAATTAATGACATATTTAGATTTACATTTTATGGTAAATCGTGTGATAGGATAGAATTAATACAATGTATTAAAAAAATATCTTAAATTATATTATCTACTTAGCAAGTGAAAAGACTAAATATATTTAGATTTAATTATAAAATGTATTATTGGAACAAATATTGAATAAAACACTAAATATATTTAAAAATAATGCATATTTTTAATTAATTTTTCATTAATTAAATTATTTTTATCACTTTGAAAAGAATTAGAAATAAATCAACTAAATGAGAAAGGTAAATACATAAATACAATATATATGTACTGGAGCATTGTATATTTCATATCTTTAATGAGATTTTATTATATATTTGCAGGAGAGATTCATACTTATTTTAATCTATACCTTTTTTTGCTATGGCTCTTCCATCTATATGTTCATGCACAGATGTTTTTATTTTGTTTTTAAATATATGCATCTCTTATATGTAATATATTCTTTTTATTATCTTTGAGTACTTAGATTTTTTGTTGTACAACCTACATGTCATTTTATGTATAATTTATGTTTTCTTTTCTTAATACATCAATTTCTGTGTTTTAGGAGGCATGCTTTATAGATTGTGGAATGTATCTTACTTATAATTACTTTTAAGAAAATGAACTCAATAGACTTATACATATAGTAATAAGTGCAATCACTAATTGGTAAACAAAACAAAAAAATCTAATCAATATATTTCTTAAGATTGCACCATATAGATTCATTATTTTATAAGTATTTAATAATTCACTTAACAATACTGAATTATTGCAAGCTTACTAGTTTTATTCTAGCAATATACTATAAGCAAAAGAAATTTAGCAAAAAGATCGAATTAATAAAAAAATAAATAGCTACTCGTGGAATAACAAAAATCTTTCATTATGTGATGATAAAATCTATTTCACCTAACGTAGTGTGAATATATAATAATCCACAATCGTAGAAAGCATACCGCTCTTACACTGTGTGTATATAATATACATCAATTATATTTCTATATTCAACTACGCATACCCGCTAATATCTATCTTAGACTCCTTTTATATTATAATATACTTTGCGAAGTATATATTATATTTTATTATATCAGCACCATTCTACGTTGAATTTAGTACACGTATAATAATTGCAATTAAACGACTCGTTTCTTAATATACGTTTCGTTCGCTAGTTAAACCAGTACCAAACTGAACATAGAATTGTACTTTGCTTTCATATTACTTCTCGTTATAGACGTATATATTTATATATATTCATTAATTTATTTATTTATTAGGTATGTATACGTGTATGAAATATGCGTGTGTAGTGTGTATATGTGTGTGAGAGAGACAACTTTAATGCACTTACACACGAATGCTTACACACGTAAACTGTCTTCTTTTCTCATGTTTTCTGTTTTACATTTCTAACTTGCACGCAATAATCACAGCCACCTCTATCCAGATACGCGCTCACGCACACCCAAATACGCACCTATCGCATTCGCATTCCATATACCTCCGGTATACGTTTATTTATCTTCGTTCGTTAATATTTATATATATATATCTATATGTATATATTTATATTTGTATATTGCTGAGATATCTTGTTGTGTATTATACATAGAAATAAGTGCCGAAACGAGCTGCTCTGTTCCTTTTTTTTGCTTTTATCATTTTTCCACTTCGATTACATATGTATAATATCGTTTTCTTCTTGTATGATCATAATAATAATAATGATAATGATAATAATAGTAATAATAATAATAACCATATAATAATAATAATAATAATAATAATAATAATAATAATAATAATAATAATAATAATAGTAATAATAATAATAGTAATAATAATAATAGTAATAATAATAATAGTAATAATAATAATAGTAATAATAATAATAGTAATAATAATAATAGTAATAATAATAATAGTAATAATAATAATAGTAATAATAATAATAGTAATAATAATAATAGTAATAATAATAATAGTAATAATAATAGTAATAATAATAGTAATTATAATGATAATAAGAAAAAAGGGGGTCATGCGACTCGAATGCCGTATGCGATGTTTTCTGTTTTTTATGTACTTACTAACTTTTTTTTCTTCTCTATCTTATTTCCATAAAATCATTTCGCTTTTAATTAAATTTCCATTTCTGAATTCCATTTTCCTAACAGCACATACTTTCACACTTTTAAATTCGTTGGGTGCTGGTTTGGACCGTGCAGGTCCGTAAATCAATAAATAAATAGAGGAACAACATTTATCAAACATTTTTTTTCTTATAACAACATTAGAGGCTCTTGGAACATAACGCAACAAATGTTCAACAATACAATCACGAAAACAAATAGAAGGCACTCTTACATTTTTTTATCAACAAATTAATTTCTTTTCGTAACGACTCACGGGTAATCTATGCGTTCTAGGCCTTTATCGTTTCGTCTACGGATCCCTCAAATATATTTGTTTCTTACTCTCTTCCTCTTTTCCCTTTTTTTTATTTTTTCCCCATAAACTTTTTTCTCAATTGCTATATATATATTTCGCCGCGATATCTAAATCACAGCGCCACAAATCTTTAGTTCGTTATCATTTTCCATTTTCCTCATTTAAATAGACAATAATAGCTACAATATGCGAGATATGAGATAACAAATTTCTCGTTATAGATAAAAGAAATTTATACGTTATAACAATTAGGTAGAATATTATTTAACCTTTTATATTATAATAATTTAATTATTGTTATTTGCTTGGAAGCTCACAGCCGACACATTTATTTAATTCATTATTACATACTTTTTTTTGTTCTTTTAAACTGTATTTTTTATTTTATTCATTTTCGGGTATTTGGGGCATCTCTTTTTTTTCTTTTTTTTTTTTTCTTTTTTTTATTTTTGTAATAGCTATTTTACGATCTTCTGTTTTTTTCTTTTTTTTTTTCTAAATATTTGTTTCTCCTGTTTACGTGGATAATTTATCATTATAAAGAAAAAAAGAACAAATAAATTAGTATATTTTTCCTATTATAGTGTCTCGAAATGCGTGAGAATGTGTTCACGGTTACTCTAATCAAACTATAAGTACTTGGTTTTACCTTGTTTCAGGTAGAAAATCAAAACTGAGAGATGTGGCAGTGCCTTGAGCAACCGTTTTATGAAATCAACTCTATTTTCGCCACCTTATTACCCTTCCGCTTCATTATCGTCAACGTCACTACCATTTTTTTTCTTTGAACACATAACAAATCGCTTCTTCTTTGTACGATAATAACATGTTATTTGTTGTTACCATATATATATTTTTCTTTTTTTTGTTTATTTTCTTCTGTTCTGTTTGTAATCCATCTATCCTACTCTAGCCTTGCTCGTGAGATTCATGGTTTGTCGAGCCTATCGCGCATAAACATTAAATACTGCATATATAACATATATAGATTTTAAATAATGTAGCATATCTGTATATCTATTAAGATAGAATTTTTTTTTCTTCATCTCTCTTTTGTTAAACATTTCGATTTTTGTTAAAGAGATATATATATAATATTGTAGCTTGACTTCGAATTTCTTTTCCTCATTTCACTCATTATTCTAATTATATATGCTCTCTTCGATAAATACATGCATATATATACATATTTATATATATACAATATATTTTAGTATATGTATATATATATATATGTGTAATATATATATATATATATTAATCGTGTATATCGTTTTCTTTTTATAACTAATATAATAATCTTTAAATATCGTATTTTTATCTTATATATATATAATATATATATATAATATATATAATATATTCTTTATAAATGCTTAACAATTTAGTAATGTTTAATAATTTACCGAAGAGCATTAATTTACATATGGAGTTTATTTAATTATTTTTTTTTCATCTTTTTTTTTCGTTTCCGTTTCTTTTTCTTTTCATATCGTATCTTTTTAATTTGGGATTTGGGATTGAGATCACAAGAGAATAGAGCAAACATGTTTCAGATATTTGTATCCATTCGCGCTCATGTTTCTATGCAGTTTTCAAAATATATAGGGATCGTCCGTGAATCGGCATACTTTCCATTCTGTTTTTGCCTGCTTTTTCATACGGCTTCGAAATCGAGATGCATCATCTATCTACCTAATCTATATTTTTATCTATCTATTCTAACCTATATATAAACGCGTACGCATCGTTATTAAACGTACGATTAGGACCGAAAGAAGAAGAAAGGGAGGAAAAACGAATCGAGCCTGTTTATACATACGTGTTTCTATGTATGTATATATCGAGAAAACGAGTTCAAAGGCTCAGAGCTTGCATCTGATGGCACGTATCGCTCAGCTGACCTTGATCGCCAGCAGGATGACCTGGATGAGTCCTTGGTGTTCCCGGTGGTGTTATAGGCATTCTTCCAACACCAGGTGGAGCATCTCCAGCTCCTCCCAAACTATCATCCGTCACTTTGTTACCCGTCTGCATAATTCCGTTCACCTTGTACTTGCTTTGTCGTAACATTGTCGTGGTGGTTGGCTGGGAACCGGAATTTGTATACTTCTCCGTCGGTTTTCTGCTTGCAGACAACGCAGGAGCGATGGTGTAACGACGCTGAGTATTCGTCTGCTGTGGCTGCTGATGTTGAGACGGGGCTAAGGATGGCTGATAACGGTTTTGCGCCGGATTGTAGAACTGGACCTGGGAGGTGGGTGGTGACAAAGTTGGAAGGGGTCTTGTCATGGGCGAATATGGTGCTGGTGGTGGGCTCACCGGCTTCTCCGAACTATTATTCTCCGTCCCTTGTATACCCTGCGAAGTACTATTCTCGTTTTCGATATTAGTCGCGTATTTATCATTCGATTGACTATTTGAATTGTTACTTCCCTCGGTTTGTCCGCCAATCACCCCATTGTTCCTATAGCTCGTCGTATTTTTACGGGTAGAATAATTATTCGATTTCGCCGTATTCTCGAAATACTGATCCCCACCAGTGTTATTTTTACGATTATTCGCGTAATCAAAATTCGTTGCCGGGTTGAACATTTTCTGTGAATTCGTGCAATTATACGGCTGTCCACCGGTTGAATTCGATCCGAAAACAGCCGACTTCTGAGTTGAATTATAATTCTCCGATGATTTTTGTGCTACGAAGCAAGCCGGTGAGCCCACGTTCGAACCAGCCGCCTTTTTGTTATACTGCATGGAGAATCGCGAGCTCATTGCCGGCGTCGTATATTTATAACCTCCGTCTAAGTTACTATGTTTGTACGGCTGAGAATTCCCCAAGTTTTGAGCTCGAACGAACGGATTTTGATGCGATAACGCGATCCCGTGATTTTGCGATTTCGAATAATTATTTAGGGTGTTTACGCTGCCGGATTTCGTGTAATCTCTAGAATTGAAGCACTGATTCTTGTTGGTCGAATCAAATAATTGCTGTGATACGGATGGCGGTGTTGGCAACAGACTTGTACCACCGGATGCATTATGAAATGGAGGTGTATGTGTATGAGGAATGTAAACAGCTGCTGGATGATAAACGATCGTCCTACAATGCATCTGATTACCACTGCAATCGTCAGTTTCGTTTAAACACGTTTGGGAACTGTACAAGTTGGCGGTATGTATCGCGATCGGATGATAATTGGTGTAACGACCGGACATGGGAAATTTCACGGGCATTAAGGACACCAAGGGTGTGGCTGACCCTGAAGCAGCCTGTGTTTCACCATGTGCTTGCTCCGAGTGGCTCGATGTCGAACGAGAATCCTGCGATTTATTTTACAGATGGTAGTTTTTCGTGTGTGTTGTTCTTTTCTTAATTAATGAATATATTCGATCGAGTAATATGATATTATGGATACATTTGTACGAGAATGAGAGTTGCATATTAATAATGAAATTTAAAACAACATATTGTTATATCTGTAGTAGTTTCAAAAATAATTTGCATGCGTGTAAAATGAGCCAATATCAATTAATTATATAAAAATATATGATTTCTTTTTTTTCCCGAAAATTAAGTCTTTAAAAATTATCTAATAGAAAAGTAAAACATATTATAATGAATTTAAATATTATTGATCAAACAAATAATTTTTCATTACTGAATTGTTTCCAGATTGAAATTTATTATCTGTAATTCACTAGAAATGTTCACTAGAAAATTCAAAAAATTACAAAGTAATAAAACGTATTCATGGCTATTTTGTACGTTGTGCCCTATCTTATATAAACCTATAATGTTTCAAAATTATAAAGAGTACAGAATACTCCTTATAATTTTGTATTGATAATTTTTTATTACGTTATATATTTCTAAAAAAAGAAAAAAACTTACCTCCTGAGGAGCAGCCTGGCCATCAGATGAAGATGTTTGTTGGCATGTGGCATCAGAAGGGAAAAGTAGTAATTGTTGATCAGTTAATCCCATGGATGCATGTGGTGGTGGAGGCGGATGAGGCCCGGCTGCGAAAGGATAGTAAATATGATCCATCTGAGGAGGCGCAGGACCTGCAGGCACCGGTGGATGATGATGCGGTGGTGGAGCGGCAGGAGGATAAAAATGTGTCGGCGGTGGTGGTGGTAAAGATGGAAGTGGTGGTGGAGGACCCGTCGGTGGACTGGTCGCCCCTGTGCCATTATTACCACTTCCAGAATTACTGTTACCGCCACTTGTATTGTTTTGTGAGTTATTTGTAGGATACAAGTACTGATGAGCTCCGGCGGCAACTGCCCCTGCATAACACTCGTACTACACAAAAAAAAAAATATCACTTATTAGAGTTAATTTTTATTAAAAAAAACATATAGGAATGATTTATCTTTAAGATAACAAATATTATATATTAATTGCATGTGTAATCATTTTGTTTTGAAGAATATATTAACGTCAATATACATGCTATGAAAGAAAAATCTTTGCTATTGAACAAAGAGATTTTCAAATATTAAATATCTTACCTTTATTTTTTTTTTTATTATATTATTATTATTATTTTTTTTTTAATAAAAGGTTATCACATAATGAATATTATACATATTTTTTTATATTATCTGTATACAATATAAAAATGTGATAGAATTCACAACAACAAAAGAAAGAAGTCGAAAGATACATAAATGCACGCTTGAAAATATAAACAATATGAAATCATCAATAATGTTACACTGTGATATACACTCTATATGATTTCATTCAATAATACAATTTTTTTGTGATACAAGCATAATAAATGTGTATTTAATGACTAAACTTATGTTCATTTACGCGTATAACTTATATGTGAAATTATTAATATAAATTATAAATTGTGAAAAAAAGATAAGTGATGCATGCATTGATAGGCCATGCAGAAGTTTGACAAAGTAAACGCACAAAGATAATGCGTTGCATGCTAGTCATTTAGCATAGACCATGTACCTTTAGACCTCAATACTGTATAGCGTCGAGAAGGACGTAAGTAGGCATTTGCTGAGGGTTGGGTAGAAACGCCGGTGGTATGGCTTCTCCCATCAAACCATTTGTCTGTCAAACCGCAACCGATTTACCGTTTAATATAAATACAAGCTATACCCATAGACAATTCATATGATAAAGTGTGAACAAAGGACCCAAGATTAAAAAGGAGTAGTATCAGAGAAAGAAGTCGGCACAATCTTTTATTTGTTTATTATTACTTACCGGCATAGGTGAATATTGATATTGTTGTGGCATATATAGAGATGGAGCAGGACACGGATACATCACAGGTGCAAAAGTTTGATGACCAGCAGCTTGTGGCCCTATTAATTAAGATTGAATAGTTTTATTAGCAGAAATATTTTAATTTAATAAATTAATTCAATTAATTAAAAAATAAATTTAAAAAATAAATTAATTCAATTAATTAAAAAATTATAATTATGTTTATGTTTTTTTGTGAAATTTACCGAATACTCCGGTAGCTTGATAAATAGTTGCTGGATCAGTTGGTGGAGCAATTGGTGTCGTTGGTGTTGGAGCTGTTGTATTGTAAAATGTCATACCATTTTGATATGTCAGTCCCATTCCTGAGCATAAGTAAAAATAATTTTATATAATAAAAAATCTATAAAACTATTAAAATAAATTACATTTATAAAATGTAAAATAAGATATAAATACACTAACCATTTGGATAATAATAAGTACTAGTAGGCACAGAGGGTGGTGATCCAGAACCACCATCCAAAGATCTATTGAAAGGTTGTTTTTTAATTGCAGGTGCTATATTTAATTTTCTTTCCCTTAATACAATGCATTCAGACTACAAACAAAATAATTTAATATTATTATTATTAATAATATTATTATAATTTGATATCTTTGATTAAATTTATATTAAATATATGCATTTATATAAAAAATTTATATATTAAATAATTTATATAAAAAATATGCATTATAAACCTCTTGTTGAAGTCTTTTAGCTTCTTCTTCAGTTTCAAATGTAACAAATCCATAACCTTTGGAGACACCAGCACGATCAGCAATTATTTTTGTAGCCTTTACATTGCCGTAGGAAGAAAAAAGTTGAGCAAGTTCTTCTACACTGGTATTAGCTGAAATGCCGCCTACAAAGATGCGATTTGGAACCAAAGTACCATATTTTGGAGCAGCCATGGTGAGACTTGTTGCTGAGGCAGGGCTAGAGGCTGGACTAGACCCCTCAGTTCCACCCGTGGATGCCGAACTCTAAATAACATGACTAATATTAAAAGAACGCTGCTAATATTTATGTATAATATAAGGATATAGTAAAAAAGGATGAAATAAATATAGAATAACTTAATAAAAATAAAATTATTATATAAGATTTTTATGTCAAATATATTTATATATTTCAAAATTTAAATGATTTATTTTAAAAAAATAATGAAAGACAATGACTATAAAAATATAAAGTTTAAATAAAAATTTTTATATTTTGTCTTAAAAATTAATAAATTTACTTCTTTAATAAAGATACCAAATGATTAATATTGTTTATTAAGGAAAAATATAAACTTGAGGGAATTAAGAATATTGCGATTTCTGTATATATATATATGACATTTAAATATAGATACGAAACTTACTACGCTGTCAGTGATCCGAAAGTTTGCAAACAAAAACAATTCCTCGATCTGCACATTAAGATCAATCTTTTTTTTATAGGATGATAAATAAACATAGGTTATGCTACATTATCCAGGTATGAAAGTATTAGAAAGAAGCACAAAAAAGTTGTCAACGATATGTATCAAAATCGTCATAATGATCGCTTTAATCTAACACTACTTAAAAATATTGACAAGTGAGAACTTTACTTCATTTAATAAGTAAAATTCGCAACAGTAATTATAAATAAACGAAAATATTTGACAAAAAAATCAGTCTATACAATTGCTATCTCATACAATTGTAACATTATATTTGCAAATAAAATGTACTCACGATTCGAAAAACGAATTTGTCAGAGGGTTAGATGAAAATCTTCGTGTAAGAATGCTCACCATCTTCGCGAGAGTCGGGCGTGTAAATGAGCTTTTTGGCCGTGAGGTTGTCCTAGCAGCTTGTAGGTACCCTGGCCTCGCACGAGGTCACCTGGGTGCCCAGGGACTGCCAAGGACCGTTGCAACCACTTCAAAAGGACTTCCAGCCTCCGGCGAAGCTGCTGTTCCTTCTCGCTAAACCTCCAAACACTACAGACACTTTTACAAGATGGCGGTCATACGCGCTGTTTAAGGCGCTAATTTTCTTGATTTTAAATTTCCAATTCGTCAAACACGTCCAGACCTTCAGCCTCGTAGATAAGAACTCAGATGTTTCGGAAGAGAGAAATAAATCTTTAAAATTTCTTACAGTATAATAATAGTCTATATAATGATATTTATCAAATCAATTTATCTTAAATAATACACAATAGATCTTAATTTTCTAAATCACCATTACTCTCATTACGAAAATTTTAATTATATTTAGAAAATTTATTTTTAATATTGTGTTTTAATAATATAAATATCGATTTATATATAGTTATATAATGAAAATTTTAAATTATTAATCATAGATATATGAATATTCATATTTTAATATTAAAATCTATATCTTTTAAATCATCAAGTTTTGAATAAATTTAATTTTATCATAATGGCGGTGATTGATTGCGGTTACTATGGTTTATATAAGTTTTTTTTCTTTGCGAAACTTACCTAATTTTTAATACACAAACATTCGAGGAACTGCTTCTCAATGAGGAACATGATTATCTATGAATTAGTCCTCAATGAATAACCGAATAAAAACACTGAAATTGAAACGAGAAACGAAAACGGAAGAAAAACTAAAATGTGCTTCTTCACAGCATTGTTGACTTCGAAAGACTGAAACATTCGCCGCCGTACTGCTCTTGTCAATATGAAATTTATCATTTTATCAATGTTCTAACAAATTTATTTTTTTCATGCTTATTAATATTATAAATTTATTTAGTAATTTGTGTAATGAATTTTTATTTCAAAATAAACAAGTACTTTTTAAATTAATATATTTAATAATATGTGATAACGCTGCTTTGAATCTAGTAGTATTAGCAATTATACGGATATTTGATGTTCAAATGTTATAAGATAAATAACAAATGATGTTTGAATATACAACCTAAAGAATTTATATTATTCATATCTGCATAGATTTTTTATTCTTTATTCAAAAATTATTTATTTAATATTATAAATTATCATGCTATTTGCTATTTATATAATAAACGCTATAAACTAGAGATACAATTAGATATAATAATAAAAAATAATGTTATGTATTTGTCGTATTATGTAAAAATTTTATTAAACTATAAAATATTTATATATATACAGAAAATGTAGAGTAAATTATTTAAAAAATTTTAATAAATTTTAATTTGTATACATTATTGATACTAGATGATAAATTCATAAAAATAATTAAATATTTCCATTAATAATTTGAAATTACACCTGACGTAAAATTTAAATTCTGAAAATTTAAAAAATTATTCATTATTAAAAATCCTCATTTTCTGCTATTGCAATTTTTTTTTAAATTTTTATTATATAGTAATAACATTTATAAATAAATAATTTAATAAATAAATAGTAAGTAATTAATATTATGAAAAATAAGTATTATTTATTATTTATATCGGGATTTATTATTAACTTACATGTTTTCTATGCATGGCAAGACAAAAAGTGCAAACTTGCTGTCTTGTTTGTGAATCAGCCCAATGATTTGTTTCATAAACACCATTAGTACCCTCAACACGTAAGCAGGGTTGATCTATAGGGCCGGCAACAAGAATAGCACCCAAATGACTGATGTAACTGCTTGCTAATCTCAATGTTTCTATTTTCGATAATTTTCTATCCATAGGTTCCGTTGGTATTAAAGTTCTCAAGGCACTGAAAGCCGTATTCACACTGCACAGCGAAGATTGGATTTCTTGAATTTCACGTTTGAATTCCTTACCCTTCTTAAGAGTATTTGTGAATTTTGCATTATTGAATGTTCTCCTGAACCAAAAGACGAATATCTCGTTTACACACTGGTCAAAGCATTTAGAGGTTTTTATTTGACAATTATACAATAATACCTTAATATAATAATACTCAAATTATTGGATAATTATACCTCTAATTACTTTGAATAATATATCATTGTAATTCAACTTTTATATTCTGTATCTTTCAGATATAATATTTTATATAAATATAAATACAAATACATAGTTAAGTATTATTTTATTACCATTGTCATATTAAAAAATAAATTTTCAATTTTTTATAGGAAAAATAAAAATTATTTAATAATAATTTTCACCTATGAGTACGATCCCTCTCACGTGCATTAGCTTGATAACGTTGTTTTGATGATTCTTCTCTCTTTCGTGCAGTCATAATGCACTATACCGCTACTAGTTAATCGTTACACAACTACACTTAACTCAAAAAAGACATCCGACTATATCGGTGGCTCATTTTATAAGCGACTGAGTTGTCGTGTCTTCCTTAGTTTTCTTCAGAATTCCCTCTTTTTCAATGTGTTGCCTTTAACTCCCACCCTATCCCTTCCCGTTATATGAATACACATGTGAAATACACGTGTATTCGATTAGGGGCGAATGAACCACTTGTATAAAACTTTGCTAGGAAAAACAGAATGCATTAATAACAATAATAATTACCTGAAATATATATAATAAAATAAAACTAATAAAACATATATACTTATATATTATTTTTTTATATATAATGAAAAATAATTTTTAATTTTGAATTTTTCAATATACAATAATAATAAAATTCCTTTTATAGATAATAGTAATCTTACTCATTTCTTTATAGGAACTAAATAAAAATACATAATAAAATTAAAAAATAAAATAAATTGTCTGCTAATAAAAAAAAAATATAAAAAATATTATTGAGAAACTATCTAATACTGACAATGATTCTATATATGTATATAATATGCAAATTATTTAAATTTATTAGTTTAAAGTTTTCATTAAATATATATCTTGGCAATTATTCTTTCAAATATTCACTAAACAATTTGCACTTTCGTACATAATAGGAAATAGTTCTTAAATGGTAATATAACACTCATTTCCTTTTACAACCACAAATGTATCAATATACATAGATATGATGATTCCTACGTAAAATGGTCAGAGGCTGGGTTTCACATTACGGTCAATAAAAACCGACAACCGGTAGAATGAGCAAGAAAAACAAATACCATGTGTAAAACTAATTAGTCTAGTCTCATGTTAGCATCTGACTGATTTATAACTGTCTTTTTTATAAGTTCATTTAATGCAATAGTATAGGATATAAGTTACTATACACGAAAAAATAGTCTTTTATAAGACAGGCATTTATTTCTGTTCAGGGAATCCAGTGACAGGCAAACTGGTAATAAGAAATTATACAATGATTTAATCTTTTGATTACATAAAATTCTCATTTAACATATTCTTTTCCTATTTCTTTGATAACAGATTAATGAAAAAAGAAAAAAAGGAAACGTCTGCTTGAGATTATGTTATATCAACAGAAATGTATAATTTCATCACCAATATTTGTATGACATAGGAGAAATATATTACAATTTCTTAAGTGCAAGCAAATAAAAACATACATTTATCATTCAATATTTGCACAATATTTTTCATTCTAAAAATCATTTCGAACAATCTTTACGATTAAAAAAAATATGATAAAACTGGACGTTCCTATGAAATATTTTAGTTAAATAACTAGATTACACTGAATTAATATATATATAGCAGAAAATTTACATGTTCGAATGGTCGTCAGAATAAAAGATCATTTCTTTTAGTATTTACTTTTCTTTTTCACTGAAAAATTTTCACGCATTAATTTCCAGTGCCTGCACCCAGAATATTTCTGTAAACTCCACGGAGCGCACGACCATGGAAGATTATGCGATTGTGTTTCTCTATAAATTTTTTTTAACTTTGGTCACTTCATTACAAAGTTTGTTTTTTTTTTTTAATATTTTTTTTATATTTTGTTTTTAATTATTAATCAGCCGCTCGATCGAACTAGTATCAAACGCTCGTGGTCTCCGGAGTAAAATCTTAAAAGGATACATATAGAAAATATACAAATTGTGACACAGAAAATATACAAATTTCTGACACAGAAATTACAATAATTATTTAAAACTTAAGTTATATCTTATGGTACGCTAAAACACGGAAAGTCTGTGAAAATTGTTCATGAATCATTCATGAAACACAGACAGTTAAACATTTTCGGGAAGCTATTCTAAAGATTATAAAATTATTATCCGTCTCGAAGACACGATTTGTATTCGTCAGTATATAATCGAGTATGTGTGTATATGAAAAACAAACAAAGAACAATTTACTTTCCTGTGCATAAGCATGGAAGGGTGAAGAAAAAAAGGAGGAACACGGTGAACCACTTTTTTTTCTGAACACTTTGGCATTATCACCGCTGTCAAAAATGAAATCAAACGGAAATAAATCTCGTTTGAGCATATGATAATATCTTGGATTCAATAATATATATAATATATATATAGAGATTTCAAACAAATTTACACGTCAAGCAGTCACTATATATATATATATAAACTTTAATCCTCTATGTGGTGCTAGATCAATCTAGCACTATATTTTAAATCGTGTCATATTTACACTAAAAAGTTACGCATTGTAACAATTTTTATGTTTTTATTCTCATTAATTACTTAACATTAAAGGAAAACCATAAAAATAATTTTTGATCCTAAATGTAAGGTCAATGATCTTGAGCAGATCTCCTTTGTTTACTTTTTTTTTTTTATCTTTGCACCTTTCTTTTTTTTCTTTTTATTCTTTTTTTTTTTTTTAACACAATGTTCCTTTCATTAGGATCATCGTATGAAACTCGTTAATTATTTATAACGAGGACCGTCTCATCCCTAATTATGAAGGATAATTATTAAAATATATAAATACAATTACATTTAAGGACGTGATCCACGTGCAGCTTCTTCCAGTGCGCGAACTTTAAGCTCGCGCTCACGCTGTTGTCTAAAAAACACCCTTTGTTAGTCCAATACACTGGTCGTCTAAATCAAGCATACATATTGTAAGCTTTGTATGGATTTCAAAGGACGAACCTTAGATATTCCTCGTGGTGTGCAACAAGTGAAGCAT